GTGTGCCTTGGCACTTTTATTGAGGGATTTATATTCTACCCTACAGGTGGAGTGACCAAGTGTCTGAAATCAGCCTATTCCTGCTTTTTGCGTTCCTGCAATTCCAATGGAAAGAAGTCCATAGATGCCTGCCACAACGTTGGCCTGCTAGCCCATGATGGACGTGTTGGTGAAGAAGGACCCGACCTGACAGTAGCTCGGCAGTACTACGAGAAGGCCTGCACTGGTGGCTATGCTCCTTCCTGCTTCAACCTCAGTACTATGTTCATTCAGGGCAATACCAAAGGATTGCCAACAGATATGAAGCAAGCTTTGAATTATGCTAACAGAGCTTGTGAGCTGGGACATGTGTGGGCTTGCGCCAATGCAAGTCGTATGTACAAACTTGGGCATGGGACTGAGAAGGATGGCAAGAAAGCAGAGGAGCTTAAGAATCGTGCAAAGGAGCTGCATGGTGCAGATAAGGAAAGGCAGCTCAAATTTGGGGAATGATTATGACACTTTATTCAATTATCATTGTTTTGGTTTTCCTATATCCGTGGTGTAAAGTCAGGTTGATTATGTGGAGAAGTGGGCAAAAACATGCTCAAAGATAGGAGATATGTTGTTTTAAAAAAGATGAATGTGTTTGCCTCATTTGGAGTGTGTAGACTGTCGCAACCAGAGAGCAGTATGGACCTGACAGTTTGAAGTGGTAGATTTCAGCCAAATGTAAAAATTGTGTAAATGATAAAGCAATAAAAATGAACTGGATTCATAAACCATATGATTATTAATAATGATTATGATTTGGAGTATAGAGTATGAAAACACATTTAAAGGGCAGTTTGAGCATTATACTCATCAGATCAACATCAGATAGGTAAAATCAGCCCAGATAATAAAACAAAAAGAAGTGTTATCAATTTATAGTTACAATGTCAAGGATAATTTTACTTAATATTTGTTTACATCTTTAAAATAGGTCAATTATTAACACTTGCAAACCAACGCTATTAACTCATGAAGACCATATCATAGTTTCTTAAACAAGTATTCCACTTTGTGGTCGGGAAAATAAACAGCATTTATGATGATGTATAGCAGGTAATGAAGAGTTTCTAAAGATCAAAATAGTAATTGTGGAGCTGAAATCTGCTATCATATTTTTAAGTAAAGTAATACTTTTTAATGTTTGATTTTAAAGTTACCCATAAGTATTTGGACAAGATTGCATTGTTTGTAACCCAATGGATTTTAAAAAACGAATTACAAAACATTTCTATACAATAACTGACAGTAGGCTATCTAAAAGTAATTGATATTTTCCCTGTTATAAGAATGAGTTTGCTACATAATTTGAACATGAACATGCGCTGCATCAACTTTTAAATCTCCACTGTAACGATGACAATATTTTATTCAAACATTTAAAACATTATTTTGATTGTAGAATTGTTAGTAACAGTTGGACATTGTCCTAAAACCCTATTAAATAATTGATGCTTTTCACTATCACTTGTAGGCACACCGGTGGTCAGACCATAGACTGGGTCAGACCACAAGAGGGAGTCAAAATCCAAGACATGAACTTTGCGCCCTTTTTTAAATCTCACAGGGCGCTTTATACTAAAGACCCCACAAAAGGCAACGCACCCGGGTATGCTTCTACCATTTGTCAACATTTTAACAGACACCGTATCAGCAACCTGTAGAGAATGCAGACGCTGACAATAAGTGTGTATCTATAAAGTAGTAAACTAGACCGATGTGTGTTGATGATGGGCGGACTGCTCAGCTAGCTCCGCCCGTTAGCGTATCCTCAGCCCTCATTCAAAACAGAACACAGCTGTTGCGAGGCACATCGTCGTGTCCTGGTCGCTAGCCTAAAAACTGATAGCTGCTGTCTGCTGCTGTGTGTTTCTGATGTACCCACTGGAATACCAAAAGGACAAGAACGACAGGGACGTACTTCGGTGAGTTATAGAACAGTAAGAGGGAAAGTTTTGTATCGCCATCATTTACAAAATCCCCCCAACCGTCGAGGTGGCTAGCTAACGTAAGGTTAAGCCCCACCAACGGTTTGGATGTGTTTGTTTTACATGCAGGATGCTCCGTTATCAAAGTACAAACATCAATAGGCGGGGACAAGGAGATGCGAGAGAAAAGATAAAACGTGTGGTTTTTAAAAGGCTGACTTTCTGTAGCGGGGTGCAGAGGTTTATTTTAGCCAGCTATTTATTTTTCTCCTCCACCCACGTGAAGGCACGGTCGCCCCACCACACTCTGAGAGGCATCACCCGAGGAGTTTGATATAATGCTAATAATAAATCATGCGCTCCCTTACCACGCTCAGCTGGCTAACGAATCAAGCTAGCCGGAATTGCAGCATGCTAATGTTGAAACCATAGACTGTAGGTTGAAACCTCTGACAAAATAGTGATGAGAGTCAGTGAGTTAGCAATTTGTGATTTCCCCCCCTGTGCAGTCTTACTTTGTTTACTTAAGTCGCTGCACAGTTCGCTTCTTGTTGGGGAGACGGGGGGTCTTTATCTACCGTTTGTGCTGTTAGCCAAACAACCATACCTACTGCAGAAGCTCTGCCCTGGATAGCTCTTTGCTTGTGAACCCCTGCACAGCTACTCTCCGGGGAGTGCTTTGGGTGTGGCGTGGGTTCACTCATGAACAATACTGTGCTGCTATCTTGTCTTAGCCGAAGCGTGTCGGTTTAAGAATGAGCACTTGTGATCCGTCGTGAGGGTTGCTTTGAGTTGGGTAAAGGAATGGCCAACAGTTCCTTACCTCGACTCTGTGAAATGTAAAGTTAAATGAATTAAGATGTTGGAGCACAAGCTAGAGAGGTT